CGGCGCTGGATGAGCGGCGCGGACGTGTGGGAGGATCGGGAGGACATGCTGGACAGGCTCTGGGACCGCTTCCGGGAAACAGGCGAGTGTCTTCGGTCGAGCGGTATCGCGCGATAACGTGCTGATTGCGTCTCGTAGAACCACCCTCGGTCTCCCACCCCTGGCACGTCCTCACGACGCAGCACCTCCAGGAGCTCTCCTCCTCGTGCAGCGCTCTGCCCTATTCGTACGGGACGCCCACGCTCTCGCCCGCACACACCCCGTCGCACCTCCTCGCCGCGTCCGTCGCGGCCGTGATGCTCCTCGCGGGCGTCCCCGAGGCGTTCACGCGGCTGTTTTGCAGTCGGTATCGCGGTACGCTCGCGAGTCTGCTGGACAATGCGCGTGGGTTGAGGGAGGCGCTCGGCGTTATGGGTGCGAGTGCGAGTGAGGAGGTGGAGGTGGTGAAGGAGGAGGTGGTGGAGATGAGGGGTGTCGGTGGGGATGCAGGTAGGGAGGACAGCGCGAAGGTGCAGGGTGTAAGAGCGAGCATGAGAGCATGTGCGCCCAGCCGTGTGAATGTATCTATGTTCGGGGACCGCAAAGATTGTCTGAGATGGGAGACAGGCAGGGGCAGAGAGAGCTCTATACAGCCCGTCTTACGACCTGTAGGGTATCTGTATACAGTTCACTACAAAGCTGCCTGAGGCGACAAAGGGCAGAGGGTTGAACCTGCACCAGAACTTTCGCATGGTGTGAACTGCTTCCAAGTTCTCTGGACCGAATCATCAGACTCGGACCCCGACAACACGCATTCCGCTTGCCGCTGCGGAGTTCCAACGTGAACCTTCCCGTGTGACAAGCAGGTAAGATCAGCGAATTGCATGCGCAATTCATCGACCCGACTGGTTGGGATGCATGAGAAGGCAATCTCGTGGGTGCCTTTGCACTTGATGACCGGGCCTAGGATGGCTCTTCATTAATCGATTATCAAATTGTGTCCCACGTCATGATTCTTCCTGCAAGCAGGCATGCTTCCAATGCAACAGATACCGACTTCTCTCAAATCATCGAACCGTGACCACACGGTCAATGGGGTACTGACTCTTCCAAGAAGCAGAGGTCAGGTTCTGGCCATTATGGCCTTCTCAAACTTTGTCCGCCCATTGTTCTCCTCTACAAATTCGGAGCCGCCCACTGATCCTGTGAGGGAATGATAATCTTCAAGCAATAGCGCGCGCACCAGAACCCACTGAAGTTGAGAGCAAGCCACTCAGTAGGCTGTAGCTTTCTTTGCGCGGCGTCTGATAGTGTTTGATAGGCCCATCGTGTCGACGGTCGGAGAGGGGGTGGTTCACATCCCGAGTCAACGAACAAACCTTCTCATCACGCTTCGCATCTAGCTCCAAAGTCCGTCATCCATCATCCGAACGAAGCATTGCTTTCAGAGTCATGTTATGAGCATCTTGCGTCGAGTCACCCGAAGTGCCGTCACCTGAACATCTCCGTCCTCATGGCTGTACCTGAGACCACGCAGAAGTCTTCCTTACATGAACTGTGCCCGTTCTGGTATTTCTGGTGAGTACAGATGTTTCCAATCTTGTAGGCTTGCTTGCAGCCTCCGAGAGCACCATACGCCCGTGGCGTCCAGGGCCTTCAGACAATGGACTGTCTTGAAGACTACGCGATCCGTTGAACACGGCGAATAGCGATAAGCGTGGTCTCGGGCGCAGTGTGCATGTGGTTGAGCTTCGGGAAGGTGGCGGTGTCAGAACGAGACACCGAATGTTCCATCAGCTCATTTCGCAGCAAAATCGACGGGCTATGAGTGGGTTCGAGATGCGTGCGTGTTGCCGTTCTTGACGCGCGGACATCGCCCACATTCTGCATCATGGGAGAGGGACGTCCTCGCCATTGGATACGACGAGCAGGTACAGATATGGCCAACGAACATGGGGTCAGTCGCATTCAGGTCCCCATACCGATTGTAAACGTGCACAAAAGCAACGTTCATCGGTGCTATCACCGTGTCCGATATACGTTTACGTACAGGCATTCTGGGGCACAATAATGCTCCGTGCTTCCGAACTGAAATTTGATGACAGAGCCGCTGACCTGCACGCCGTCGGTTCTTCATTTCCCTTCAGATGCTCGGGAGTCTGATGAGTCACAGGTCTAGGCATGGACGTCCGAAGCTGTGGGATATATAGGCCGTTCAGAGTGAGCATCACTCGTTCCCACCGTCCCTCCCCCCCACCTCCTCTCCTCCACCTTCTCGCTTCTCTAACCAACCCCCTTGTTCACCCCCTCCCACTCTCCAAAGCCCGGTCAAACGCTGGACTCCGACATGGTATGCACGCCCACTGCGCCGAGCTCCACACCAAAACTGACCGTCTCAAATCGCCGTGCACAGTCCGCCGCCTTCCCGCCCTCGCAGTTGCACGGTCCGCACGTTGTCCCGGCGACTCGATTTCAGGACCGGCCCGTCATCCCGCCCATCGCGCCTCATCGGCCTTCGCTACTTACCGGTATGTGCACACCACCGCTCTCACTCCACGCTCACCTACTGACCATCCTCATCTTACACCCCGTGCGGGTGTCCTCGAGCGCACGCGGATACTGCCCGCTCTTGCAAGTCGTGTCCGACCCGACCATCCCGTGGCACTCACCTGCCCGATCCACTCCCTCGTGAGCCTCTCCTCTCTCAACCCAG